GGAAACTTACTCAAAGATTATTTACACAGTGATTCACGTCTCAAGAATTGTAGTACACACCTCCACAGGCGACTGCACTTTTCGGTAGTCAGATATCCTTTATTTTCTGATATATCAAAATTGAGCCAGTTTTTCCCTGCTAATTATCATAAATTTGCATATTAGTGCTATTTACTTTGGTTTGCGTTGGACCGTTCATTAGCAAGCAGGCCAACAGCAGATTTACCAACAAACGCACGGGAAGGACCCCATGCAGCAAGTGCACCAAATGAGAGCCATGCAGCAACAGGTGCAAAACATGCAGCAGCAACAACAGCAACTGCAGCCACACCAAATGCAACAAATGCTACAATTGCAACAACAGCAACACCAAATGCAACAACAACAGCATCAGATGCAGCATCAGGTGCAGTCCACGCAGCACCTGCAGCAGCCTGTCTTCACCATGCAGCAGGTGGAGGGGCTACAGCAGATGGCACCCGTACGCACAGTGCAGCAGCTTCCAGGAATGCAGCAGCAAGTTACTGGAATGCAGCAAGTTCCCGGAACGCAGCAGCAACACATTGTGTACCAGCAACAGCATGCAACAGTACGCCACAACCCCGGGACGCAGCCAACACACTTCACCAACACGACCGGTTACACCACCGGCTACACCCCCGCACACGTGCTGGGGGAACAGATGCAGCCGGCGCTAGCAGCCATCCACCCGGCCTCGGTGATCCACATGGGCCATGCGAAGGAGCGTGTGTACAAGGCCCACCCGGAGGAGGTGATGGGGAGCCCGGGGCAGCGGCGCCGCGCTCTGATCCAGCTACACGAGGGAATCCACGCAGACTTTGACGCTTGCATCCCGTACTTCCCCAAGGTACGGGTGGATGTGGTTTCAACTGTCACACGTCCATTCCACTGTAGAGGGTGCCTCAATTGTTGCACATCCATGCCTCTGTAGATGGAGTACCAGTTCACTTGTCATTCCCAAACTTCAGCTTTATAAGGCTTCAACTGTTGCACATCCATGCCACTGTAGCTTTGCAAGATGCTGGAGTCGGTCACTGTAAATTGTCTTCATCCATTCCACTGTAGTACTAGATTGGACTAGATGTATTTAGTTCACTTGCCAATCCCAAACTTCAGCTTTACTAGATGTAGGAGTTGCATCGGTCCCAAGTCATTCCACTGTCGCTTTGCAAGATGCCAGAGTTGATCACTGTAGATGGATACATCGATTCCACTGTAGAGGAGCTACATTTGTGCCAGTGTTCGCTTATCATTCCCAAACTTGAGCTTTATAAGGCTTCAATAGTTTCACATCCATTCCACTGTAATGGGAGCTACATTTGCACTGGTCCAGTTCAATCGTCATTCCCAAACATCTGCTTAATAAGATGTTGAATTTAGTCGCTATAGATGGAGTAGGTCCACAATCCACAGCCATTCCACTGAAGAGGGGGCTACCAGCTCACTTGCTCCAATTTTGTGTATCACGGCTCCTCCAGTAGACAGAAGGATGAGGAAGATAACCCTGAGTTCACCCATGCTTTAAACCTCCGTGTACAAATCACCATGTGTTTAGCATAACATCTTGCAGACCATATGAAGCATTCAAGACTACTGTTATTCCATGGTGTCTGTGGAACCTGGACATCACCAGATATGCTGCAAACTGTTCTATTGTCACCTAGTGAACAATCATGTTTCTATCATTTGTCTGTCAACAGTGAAGCATTTGTCAGCACAAAGCATTATGTACTGTCCAACACCCTCAAGCACCTAGTCATCGCTGGACTCCTTTTTGTCTTCATCACTTTTACTTGAGTCCAACAGCTCTTTGCCTTTTCTGTCTTACATCTTGCCTTCACTGCACTCCTCCTTACTCTACCTATACATCACTCTCACTTTCAGCATCTCAGACATTCACTCTCACTCTCGCTTGCATCTTCTGCTCTGCTCTATGATTCAAACTGTCCGTCCCTTTCAGACTTGATCACAGTCTTTAATGGTGACCACCTTTCATCCTATTTTCTATGAGAGCATTCATGATCAGTAGATGTCATACACACATTCAGCACTATTTATGTACACAACCAACTTCCGTAGCTTTCATTGTTTGTC